CAATAAAACTGTTTAATGATTCCAGCCTGGAAAAAGAACGATTCAAAGACTCACTCAATCTTTGTGTAAATTTAGTTTTAAATCTTTAAAGCTTTGGTCAGACGGTCGACGTGTTGCAGAACTTTAGACATTATTTCTACAGCTCGTCTGAAATAAAGACTTATTTTCAGATTTTCTCTGTAACATGATGATGAAAACATGAGTCATCTGTGCTGCCTGAAATGAGCCAATCAGCTGCGTGTGTGTTCAGGTGAAGTCCAGGTGAAGTCCAGGTGAAGTCCAGGTGAAGCTCAGGTGTGGAACTCTTTGGGACTTGGTGGTTTTTATTGATGAATTTGTCTCGTTTGGCTCCTGCTTCGTTTTTCTTCCAGCTGCTGAAAAGCTCCTGAAATAAAAAAAATCTAAATTAGGGTAGAATATATTAATGCTATGTATCAGTGTCTTAGTGTCTCAGTGTCTCTGCGTCTCTGCGTCTCTGCGTCTCAGTGTCTCAGTGTCTCTCTGCGTCTCAGTGTCTCAGTGTCTCAGTGTCTCAGTGTCTCTCTGCGTCTCAGTGTCTCTCTGCGTCTCAGCGTCTCTGCGTCTCAGCTTCTCAGCGTCTCAGCGTCTCAGCGTCTCTGTGTCTCTGTGTCTCTGTGTCTCATGTCCACCTGACTACTGGACGTCCAGCTTGCTGGGCCCGACGCTGGCGATGAGCTGGGAGGACTCGGAGGCGGCGCTGTAGGCCTGGATCAGCAGGTTCTTGTTCAGGTCTCCCACCCCGCTGCCGGCCTGCAGCCTGGGGTAGGGGGGCGTGTCYGCGCCGCGGTGCTGTCCTCGTCCCGGCGCGTCCAGGTCCATCAGCTGCTCCAGGGGACAGGCGTCGGGTCCCTCAGTGACCGGGGAGAACTCGTGAGCGCTGGCCTGCTCGTCCCGGGACACCGGACTGATGGAGACAGACGGAGAACTTACAGGAAAGACAGAACCTTCAGTTAGAACTTCACTTCTTTATGATAAAAACTAATTTAAATCATGTCCCCCGGTGTCCCTGAAGGGACGAACATCACCTGCTGTCCTTTAAGACTAAAGTTTCAGACATGTTCTAATAAAAACCACRGAGGTGAAGCTGTTTGTCTCTACAGTCTGCAGAACCTCAGAACATCAGGTAATACTCTGAACCCACCTGACGTCCATGGACTGGACGCCATCGGACAGCTCGTCCACACAGCTCTTGTTCTCCAGGGGTCCCAGYGTGATGATGGGGGTCTCTGCAGGAGTGGCTGCATCCTCCTCTGAGGCGACAGCAGCTTCACCTTTCATCTCAGARACTAAAAACACAAAGAGAAGAGGAGAAACGTGTGGTTAGGGTTCCAGCTGAGAGGATTATTTCTGATGCAGGGATTATAATCCCCTCTGGATCCATCAGATTATAAATCTGTACTCCGCTCTGCAGGATTACTCTTTAAACACCAGGGGGCAATGTTTCCTGCTGTACTGACTCTGCTGAGTCACTCAGCACCTCTTATTTACTGTTTATAACAGAAAATAAGAGCAGGAAGTAGAATAAACCAGAGACAAAATAAGAGCAGGAAGTAGAATAAACCAGTGAGAAAATAAAAGCAGGAAGTAGAATAAAACAGTGAAAAAATAAGAAGAAACCAGACAGAAAATAAGAGCAGGAAGTAGAAGAAACCAGTGAGAAAAATAAGAGCAGGAAGTAGAATAAACCAGTGAAAAAATAAGAAGAAACCAGAGAGAAAATAAGAGCAGGAAGTAAAAGAAACCAGAGAGAAAATAAGAGCAGGAAGTAAAAAAAACAGAGAGAAAATAAGAGCAGGAAGTAAAAAAAAAAAACAGAGAGAAAATAAGAGCAGGAAGTAAAAAAACCAGTAAGAAAATAAGAGCAGGAAGTAGAAGAAACCAGTGAGAAAATAAAAGCATGAGGAGTAAAAAAGTAAAGTTGAAATAAATTAAACTGAATTTTTGAGCAGAGGATGTTTGTTTATATTTACCTGAGGCAGCTGATGGAGGCTCCACCTCGCTCTTCCTCGTCCTCTTCATGATCTCCTCAATCCTCTGGAAAACAAGCAGAAAACTTGAGTCAAAAACAAACTTAATTTAAACAAAGAGGAGACTCAAACAAGAAAACTGAGTCTTAATCTGCAAGTAAAAACATTCAGGAAGTCAAATATATTTAATTTATATTTCTCATGAGTCAACCCTAAAGGTTAGAGACAGAGAGAGAAGAGGAGGAGCTGTCTGGTACCTTCTTCCTCAGCTGCCTCTCCTGCTCCTCCTGGATGTGGAGCAGCTCCCTCTCCTGTCTCTTCCTCTCCGCCTCCTTCTGAGCTCGCAGGAAGGCCTCCTCCCTCTGGAAAAGAAGGAATGATGATTTTTCTTTTTTTTAAACTGAAGAATAAAAAAACTGAAGCAAAGTTTGTTTCATCGATTTATAAATCTTATAAATGTGATGTAACAGAATAATTCTAGCGTCCTCGTGTTGTGGACAATGTCTCTGTGGGGACTGACGTCTCTGTCCAGCTGGTCCTGCATGTCCTTCAGTCTCTGCTCCTTCTTCTGTCTCTCCTCCTCCTCTCTGATCCTCCTCTCCTCCTCCTTCCTCACTCGCTCCTCCTCGGCCTGCAGCGCCACTCGCTCCTGACGCTCCTTCTCCTCCTGCTGCCTCCTCAGCTCCTCCTCCACCCTCAGCCTGGACGAGACAAATTCAATTAACTTTATTTAAAAGTCGCTTCACAACAAAACAAAAACATAAGTTTAGATAAAAATAAACAATTTAAATCAAATTAATTATTTTATTACAAAACCCCCTTTCTGCTGAAACTAGCTAAAAGAAATACAACAATAACTATAAACTAAAATAAGAAAAACACTTTCTATAAGCTAAATGTGTAAAATAGTGGCTACACGTAACAAAACACAACATAAAATGTACAAAATAGTAGTTAAAAATAACAAAACAATAGCTTTAAGATAGAAGCACAATGCTAACTTTACGATAAAAGAAGCTAAAAGCTAAAAAAACAGAAATACTAGCCAATATTAACAAAACATTAGCTAGAAGATAGAGGAAGCACAATGCTAACTTTAGACTAAAAGAAGCAAAATATTAGCTAACAGCTAAAAGATAAAAATACTAGTCAATATTAGCAAAACATTAGCTAGAAGATAGAAGAAGGAAAGCAGAAGCTAAAAGCCAAAAGAAGCAACATACTAGCTATAAGATAAAATGAGCGATATTAGTGGTTAAAAGAAGCTAAACACTAGCTAAATGCTATAAGAAAAACAAAAAAGAGCAAAAAATAGCTATAAATTCAGAGGTAAAAGCTAAATTTAGTGTAATGTTAGCTAAAAGCAGTAAAATGTGGGTTAAAGGCAGTAAAGTAGCAGAAGGCTAGCTGTGTTTACAGCTGATGTTTGGAGGAGGAGGCTCACCTCTCCTCCTCCTGTCGTTGTTTCTCCTCCTGCTCCTTCTGGATCCGGGCCAGACGGCGCCGTTCTGCCAGCAGTCTGGACGCCTCCTCAGCGTCCGTGGTCCCGCCAACGCTGCGGCCCGTTGGCGTGCTCGGAGACTCTGTGAGGAGGAAGAGGAGGGAGGAGGTGATGAAGGACAAATGGTTAAAAATATTAAATCCAGTCATAAAGTTACTTTGTTTATGTTATTGATCTCACAGGAAGAATGAAAACTTCGCTCTGTGCTCACCTGCGTTCAGCTCTCTGCTGGTGGATTTAGGGATCTTTTTGCCCTCTGACGTCTCAGATTTGGCAGATTTCCTCTCCAGGGTGCCGTGACCTTTGACCTCAGCGAGCCCCCTGTCGTCGGTGCCGGGGGTGGCGGCTCTCTGTCGGAGCGGGGAGGGCGGGTACTGTCCGGGGGAGCAGGGGGACTGGGCGCGGCTCCTGTTGGACTTCACCCTGAAACAGAGGAGAGAAACTGGTGAGGTCACCTGAGCGACGAGGCAGGTGAGGGGGTGTGGCCGGGCGCTGACCAACCGTTTAGGCGTGACGTGACCTTTACTGTTGGCTTTGAAGGAAGAGCTACGGACCGGCGTGTTCGGAGACTCCCCCTGAGGGTCCCAAAAAATACCACCATTAACCATTTTTATCTTTGAGTAGAAAAACTTGAGTTCAACTGGTAAACTGAAACTAGCTAAATAAAACATAACCGCCAAAATAAAAGCTAAAGGCTTAAATTAGAAAAACATCAGCTAAAGCTAAAAGTACGAACAACAAACATTAAGAGTTTTTATCTTTAAACAAAAAAACTTGAATTCAACTGGTAAACTAAAACTAGCTAAATAAAATATAAAAGCTAAAATAAAAGTTGAAAGCTTAAATTAGAAAAACATCAGCTAAAGCTTAAAATACAAACAATATAAAAGCTGAAAATAGAAAAACAGTAGCCGCAATTTGCACAGTAAAAATTTGTAAACTTAAAAAGTCTAAAATCAAAATGAGCAAAATCAAAAAGTCTTAGCTAACAGAAGCTAAAAGCTAAAGCTATCAAAGGGATAGCTAGCTATAATTAGTATTTTAAAATGTCTTCGTGTCTAAATGAGGCTCCTACAAAATAAAAGCAATAAATACGGTGTCGTGAGCAGACCGTGGGTGTTTTGGCTCGGGACGTGTCATCAGGCAGCCCAGCGATGCTCCTGCGGTTGGAGGAACTCCTGATGGGTCTGTGGTTGCTGGGGGAAGCTGTTCGATGGGACACAAACGACACTGACGGGTCACAGAGCGACACACACACAGCAACATAACAAAACATGGAATAAACAGATGAATGTTGACACAGAGAGAGAGATAATTAATGTTGTGAAGATTTTAGTTTTGTGTTTAAAAATGAAATAAAATTATGTTTTTAGTTTGAACTCTTATAAAATCTAAAATAAATGTGTTGCGATGCCTCACCTCTCTCCGGTGAGCTGAGGGAGGCTGTAGAGTTAGAAAGCTGTTTGTTGTTCAGCTGATCCATCGTTGGTGGAGACAGGAAGTCAGCTACTAAAAAAATAAATAAATAAAATCAGTCATTAACCCAGAAACAAGCCCAGACCCTGCCGCTGCTGCTGGAAACAGCAAAATGTGGTGGATGAACGTGAAAAGAAACAGAAAAGTGCCGCCGCACACAGAAAACAGTCCYGCTGATCGATGAGGTGGACAGACAAACTGCTTCGTCATGACGTGAAGGATGAAGAAACAGCAGCCGCTGCATCGTCATCATCACACCGACTGAGAGGTGAAACGTTTCCTGCAGCACCTGAACGCACCACGAGAACATCCCTCTGATAGAAACCTGAACATCTTCATCTTCTCTGTCAGCTCCTCCTCCTCCTCCTGACTCGGTTTATATTTTAGCATCACTGTATCTGTTCAAACCTGAGGAGATAAATATCTAATAAGAAGCTTTAAGATTTACTGGTTTCCAGCCTCTCACTGTTTCACTGCAGGCAGGTTGATTAGATATAAAAAAATATGTAATAATCTTAATAAAAATAACTGATGAGGAGTAAAAACGAGTTGGTTTGATGTAAAACAGACAACTAAAGAAAAACAAGATGAGGTCATGTTCAGCTGCTGGATCTGTGAAATGGAACAGTAATGATTAGAACAACGAGTCTGTCTGACTGTTGATGGTTCAAACAAGTTTCAGATGACTGCAGGGTGTGTGTGTGTGTGTGTGTGTGTGGACCCTGCTGAGAATGAGATCCATGCATGGTTAGAGCCAGGAGGACAGGAAGAGGAGCAGCCCTTTGTTGTGATCAGGGTGGGGGGATGTGTGACGATACGTTTGAATAAATGTGTAAAAGTCCTGATCCACTCCTCGTTGTTGTYGTTTGTTTAAGTCTGGCTCTTTGTGGTGAGTGGATCAGGACTTCCACTTATATACAGAATATAAAAACAAACTGTAGATGAAAATGATTCAAGACCATTTTCTTTTTTAAATAAAGAACCACTGAACAAAAACACAAATATAAAAACACAAACAGTTTGTGTTGGAGGTCAAACTGCCTTTCTTCTTTCAAAATAAAAGCTGCTCAGAGATTTAAAATCATTGGTGACTGAACAAAACATCACAATTTTTATTGTTCATTTTTCATTTTTGTTGCTTTTACTGTGAAAATTGATGGATGGATGGATGGATGATGGATGGATGGATGATGGATGAACTGATTAACACTTACTGCTCTACATTAGAAACATCTGGAGATCTGTTTCAACACACACAATGACCACATGACAAACACACAATAAACATACACACAAACACACAGGATAAACACACAAACACACATGATAAACACACAGATTGCAGCCAGTTGTACGGCACAAAGACGCCATGCACACAGAGGTTGAGCTGCAGGTGAGAGGTGTGTGGGCGGGGCACACAGAGTCATGTGATCTCTACCGTTACGGGATTGGCTGGTGCTGGAAGCAGCAGGAAGCTCATTGGGCTGAGTGGAGCCAATGGCATTACGAGGTGGGGTCTTAGGGTTACCTGGGCAACAGGTGAAGCAGAGGCGGGAAAAAGCAAAGCGTTACACTCTCTCTCACACACACACAAACACACACACACCTGTTTCACAAACACACACAGGAGTTACAGCTTCATAAAGAGACTTGATGGATAAAAGAACTGTGAGCAGGAAGTGCTTCACTAAAATCTCATTTAGACCAATCATCAGGTGAGACTAAACTCCACAAACAGCTGAAGAAGCTGAAGATCTGTGAGGAGAAAACTGAGGAAAAATAAACCATGTTTCACACAGACTGGTTTAAATGTGAGGCAGCCTCTAAGATGTTTAAATAAAACATTTTTACACCAATCTGAGTGGTTTAACAGAGAAACAGGAATCAGACTGCATCAGTCAGACAGAGAGGAGGAGCCTCTGAGCAGAACAAACRCTACATTTCATTCAACATTTCTAAATCCTGTTCAAAGTCACGTATTCATACAATTCATTTATTGTTTGAGTTTCAATTTTCATGTTAAAAAACTGCAGTTTTGTGTCGTTTCACTGAGCTGCCACTCAAAAATCTGAGAAAATAAATTATTTAATAACTGAATTCTGAGTGTTTGTGACCAAGAAAACAGGAAGCTGTGCGGGCACAAATAAAATAAATATGTTTAATTTTCAGGAATGGTTTGTAGAACTGACCTGCTGCTTTGTTGCCCACCTTCATGTTTATATTTTAATCAACAGGAATAAACTTTAGAAATAAAAACGGGCAGATTTGAACCACTTTATTAACCATTACTACAAAATATTAACTGTAACTCTGGACAGTCGGATGTTTTCTGTCCGAGCCCTTGTGCAGATTTCAAAATAAAATTACAGCTTTACAGTCTGCAACATTTCTAGAAGAAACAGTTTATTACACATTCAGAACTCCACCGATAAAACTGTGAGCCTTTTGAACTCACACAAACGTTTCCAGATATTTGGAGACAGCCTCGGGACCGTTGTTTATTAACAACTTACAGAGAGTTGAAGCTAAAATGAAAAAACATCTCAAACCTTTTTCAGAAAAGTGACCCRTCACATCGAAACGAGGATCAACTCTAAAAGTTGTGTGTGGAGAAATAGGCAGATATTACAGAGCCCGCGAGGGGACATGGGGAGGTTTTTTTTCTTTTGCGTTCCCATGCAATACTTTTGAGTTACCTCGCAATACTTTTGCGTTACCTTGCATTACTGTTGCGTTACCTCGCAATACTTTTGCGTTACCTCGCAATACTTTTGCGTTATCTCGCAATACTTTTGCGTTCCCACGCAAAAGATTGTTTTGTACATGAACTGAATTAAATCAGACTTTTAATTTGAAATATCCGGTTACCAAAACAGGATGTGTCGCCACGAGTTCGTGAATTTGACACTGATGTTGCGTGGCTGCACAGTGTAAAAATATCAACATATGACATACTTCCATGTGTGGCTGTGTGATACTGTATATTCATTCTGAAGCTGAATTAAAGCAGTAGGCTAACTCACTAATGGTGAACATGTGAGTTTATTAATAAACACAGGCACAACAGTGATAAACTACTTTTGAGAGGGAACGAAAAAAGAAAAAAAAATCCCCCATGTCCCCTTGCAGGCTCAGTAAATGCTTGCAAAAATTACATTTTGTCAAAATATAACAAATAAATGTGTTATCAATGTATCATTTCAATCAACTGAAATATAATCCTAAAAAAATTTATGCACTTTTTTGAGCAGTAGCAACCAAAAACCAGATTAAAATGTTGAGATTTTCACTGTGAGCTATCAAAGCWTTTGTTTCTTTCTTTCCTATTCGATGTTTCTTTTTTCAAACGACATAAAAAATCTCATTAAAATTACATAAAATTAGAACTTAGACCAAATATTTATGTATTATCATAACCAACAAGACAAATTAAATAATATCTCTGGATCTACTAATGATATCAGGATGATCTAAGTATCAAAATGTAGCTTTTAAAGCAGGRATCTGAAAATATGATGAGGTCATTTTGATCAAACTAGAGTTAATCCTCATGTCGATGTGATCATGGGTCACACAGTAAATAAAATGAGTCATCAGATGAAGCTGAATACCTTCAGCCAGTTTAACACTTAATAAAATCCACTCTACTCTGGCTACACTGAAACAAAACAAACGTTCTGTTTTTTTATGACATCATCTCTTTGTTTAATCATGATCAATGTTTCTGTTTGTTGCAGCTTCTTCATTTACGTCTCAAAGCTTTAATAATTCAATATTTGTCAGTAAAAATCAGGRTTTAATTTTAGCTCAGATTGTATTTTAAAGATCGTCACGTCGTCACTGTGTGTGCTTATCTTAATCTGTCCTGTAGCTGAGTGGAGAGGTAAGATGAGATGCTGCTGGTTCTGCTGCAGTGAGCCGGGCCCGAACAGAACCTGGACCCTGACAGAACCTGGACCGGGCAGACCGGAGCCAGACGARCYGCTCCTCTGTGACTAACTGACAGTTTTCTGAACGCGGTGCAGAGGAGGTGATGTGAGCCGGAGGACGGGAGGTAAATAATAATAATGAAGACGTTAGCTCGCTGAGCGCCGCAGCTCGTCTTTTAGCTGTTTGAGATGTTTGGCTGTGGGGCCTTGTTGTCAAGGTTAGACCCAGCTGTCCCCAGGCTCAGACCGGACCTCCCAGCACAGAAACACCCCCCTCCCTCCCCAGCAGCCTGACACACACCTGTAGATACCGAGCAGAGAGGATACCTGAGTGAGTGATGTCATCACAGCACAGCGTCCTGCAGGAGGATGCAGCTCCTCTGAGGGCTCCACACAAAGTGCTGAGCTGCTCCTGCAATGCAGCCTCCACACCCTTTTTCCTCCTCCTCCTCCTCACTTCTTATCCCTGTTTCACCTCCTCCTCCTCCTCCTGTCTCCACCCATCCCTCCTCCTGACCTCCACATGGCTCCCAGCCCCCACCGTCCACACCGAGCCTCAGGTTGGACTCACCTTCTGCTCCGTCGGGCGGTCCCTCCCAGGTCCAGCGTTTGGGCCTGTTGTCCAGGTGGGCCTCCCCTGCTCCTCCTCCTCTCCTGTCGGCGCCCCCGGCTCTCCGGCGCACCAGGGCCTCCAGCCTCTCCTGCTCGTTGCGTTCGGACACGGGGAAGAAGAGACACTCTCTTACCGAGCCGTCGCTGCGGCGGCGGACGCCGGGCGATGCGCTGAGCGATGCGCTGAGCGGCGGCTGCGCCATGGTAACCGCTCCTCCGCTCCTCCGACGGCTCTGTCACCTCCGACTCTCCTCCCCCCCAGCCTCACCCCAGCCTCTCTCTCCTGTTCTATCCCTACCTCGATCTCCCACTCCCTCTCTAATGACTGTTTCACCCGACAGGAGGGGCTGAGTGCTCGTCACATCCCCCAACACACACACACACACACACACACACACACACACACACACACACACACACACAC